CCCCCGCACCCCGCAGAGACAACCCGCCGTCAGGCCCCAGGCGGGCGCCCACCTGCATCTGCTGGAAGCACCGCAGCGCCTCCGCGGCGCGCCCCCGCGCCTCGAAGCTCCGCACCAGCGCGAAGAAGGCGCGCGCGCCCAGCGCGCCGCCGGGCGCGAGCCGGATGACGGCCTGCAGCTCCCCAGGCTCCACGTCCGCCGCGAGCACGGCGCGCAGCAGCGACTCCAGGCTGCGGCGGCCGAACGCGAAGGGCCGGGGGCGCTGGGCCAGCAGGGCATGGAGTATGGAGTAGTCGCCCTTGCTGAGGGAGAGCTGTCGGTTGTTTCGGTTGGGGCATGGTGGCGACAGGGAGGCCGGCGAGCGGCGGGGACGGGTGAGAGCAGCGGGGGAGGGGGACACCGGCAATGGGCCGAGGGGCTGGCTGTACGGCTAGCGACCGGGGCGGCTGCGGGCGGCGGCTGCTTTCGAGGCGCGTGGCTGGCGATCCGCCTGGTCACACGGCGCCTGGCAGCTGCATGCGTGCCAGTGGGGTTACCACATGTTGTGCAAGACACCGTACCCTGATCCCCGACACAGCCACCTTACGACACACACACACACACACACACACCCAACAACCAGACCAGACGGTCCATGGCCCTCACATTCACAAGCTGCACCGCCGTGTGCGCGACGACGTGCGCCGTGTGCGCCGGCAGCGGCCGCGACGCGAGGAGTGCCACGAGCTCCCACGCCTGCTGCGCCTGCTGGGGCCCCCGCACCGAGTCTACCAACTGCTGCAGGCCGCCGGCAGCTGGGGGGGCGACAGGGGCCACGCGAGGGCGGGTGTGAAGTGGGCGGCCGGGCGGCGGGGAGTCTCGATGCCGGCGGGTGGTTTCTGGACGCTCGGAGGTGCATGGCAGCCGGCTGCGTTGCTGCGACACCGCGCTGCCGGACTGCGCCCGCTTCGACGCCCCGACTGGTCAGTCAGGAGGGTTGCGAGTTTCAGGCCGGCAGAAGCAGCAGCCTGAGTGTGAGACCCTTCAGCAGGAGTGCCGCGTGTTACTTTTTCCGCTGGCGGGCGCACCTTGGACCCAGTGGGGCAAGAACGGGGACGACGCGTGCAGGCGGCAGTAGGCGCTCCACTCCGCAAACGACGCGTGCCCATCCGCCACCGCGCTCGCCGGGCTCGCCGGGCTCGCCCGCTGCCGGCGCGGCTGGCGCGGCTGCCCGTGCTGCTGCCATCGCTGCTGCTGGCGCCGCTCCCGAGGATTCCGACGCTGGTCTCGCTCCCACTGCCGCTGCGCCTGCCCCTGCTGCTGCTGCCACCGCCAATTCTCGAAATCGCCAGCGTCTTCTTGCGATTGCGCCGTAGCGAAGTCCACGCCCCTCTGCAGATGCCGCAGCTCGTCAGCAGAGGTGTGGCCGCTGCCATTTGACGATCTGCCATGTCGGATGCTGTCGGCGCCCTCAATAGCTGGCTCAGCAGGTGCAGCGACTAAGCCGGCGCTGCTCGTGTTCTCGCCGCTGCAGCGGCGCTCTTCGAGCAGCACCGCCGTGCTGGGCCCGGAGGGTGGTGTGTGACGAAAACCTGTGCGAAATTGAAGCGCCAATGAGGAAGATCCTATGTGCACGCTACAGGAAAGCCCCCTGGTCCGCAGCGTTGGCAGCAGCGCGCTTACCCAGCCTGTGCTGCTTCACGAACTTGAGCGTGAGCAAGGGAGGTGCCGTGGCTGTCGCATTTCCAGCATATACACGCAGCCTAGGGCGCTGCATTGGCCCAGGGAGCCCGCTGATGACCAGCATGGCGAAGCGAACGAAACAGAGCAGTCAGCCCCCTTTTGTTGTGATGTCTCGGAACTAAATCGATTTATCAAGTGTTAACGAAGCGGCTGCTCTGCTTTGCGGTCGCCGTCATGTGCGACGAGTGTGTCAAACAGTCCAGAGTGATGTTTCCTTATCTTGATCGCCTTCTGACGCGGCGCTTTATTCCTCGAGTGCATATCATCTCTTCCACCATACTAAAGGCGGCTACTTGGGGCGTCCAATCTGCTGGGTGCAATTCAAGCGTGTTCTGCTTGGTGCCGCGGAGCTTAGATGGGCTCTTACGTATGGAAGCGGGATGGTGCGGTCCCCACAGTTGCCGCGCATGCTGCGCAGCAGCAGCCCGGGCACGTTGTGGGATCGGCAACCGGCGCCGCGGTCGACGCAGCGCGCAGGGCCGATGCTGCAGGTGCGGACGCAACGACGACGGGCCCCACAGCGCCAGGCAATCAGGCGGTCAAGCGCCCTCATCTGCAGGGCGACGCGGCAGATAGGGCAGTGCCCGTCAAGCGATGTCGCATCGACGGCCCAGCAGCGGCACCACCCCCCGCACCTGGTGTCCGGGCTGCTGCTGCACAGCAGCAGCAGCAGCAGCAGCAGCAGCATCAACAGCAGCACAAACAGCATCAACAGCAGCACAATCAGCAGCAACAGCAGCAACAGTACCAGAAGCAGCAGCAACAGCACCAAAAGCAGCACCAAGAGGAGCACCAACCGCACCAGCAGCAGCATGCGAGGCCCGCACCCCACGCGAACCAGGCCGCCGCCACGCCTGGCAGTGCGTCAGGGCCGGACCAGGTTGCCTCCGACGCAGCGGCAAACGGCACTGAAGCTTGTGGCAGCGCCGGCGCTGAGGGCTCCGCGACAGCCACCCAAGAAAGCGCACCCGCCCAGCAGCAGCCACTGCACCAGCGCGGGCCCCACCCCCGCCGCCACCAGCAACAGAACCCCCACCGCGCGCTCCACAACCATGTGCGGCACCAGCAGCAGCAGGCGGCCGCAGCGGCGGCGGCGGCAGCAGCTCTGAAGGAGAAAGAGGAGCAGCTCGCAGCGCTCAAGGCGGCGATCGCGGCCAAGGAAGCGGAGCAGGCCGCAGCGCGCAAGCGCGCGGCCGCGGCGGCAGCGGCCGCGGCGGCGGCGGCCGAGGAGCGCCGGCGCCAGGAGGCGATCCAGGCGGAGAGCCGCCTGCGGCAGCAGCGGCTCAACAGCGCGTTCGGCGCCGCCTTTGCAAGCGCGGCTGCCAAGCCGAAGCCGCCGCCGTCGCCGCCGCCGCCGGCGGCACCGCAGCAGCGGGGCTCCGGCGGCGGCGCGGGCGCCAAGGCGGGGGCGGATGGCCTGGAGGAGAGCGACGACGACCTCGTCCGGCGCGTGCTGTCATCCAAGGGCGGCGATTACGACGTGCTGCGGCTGCGGCGCGGCTGCGGGGCGGCGGCGCTCAAGGCGCGGTACCGCCAGCTTGCGGTGCGGCTGCACCCCGATAAGTGCAAGGCGAAGGAGGGCGCGAAGGATGCGTTCCAGAAAGTGTCCCAGGCGTACGACGCCCTCAAGAAGGTGGTCGTCTGACGCGGGGACGCCTGACGTGGTCCCTTCAGCCCCCCACTGGCTGAAACCGAGTGGCCGCTGCGCGGCCGTCGAGGCGGCGGATCGCACCGCTGTTGGGGCAGACTGTACTCAGTCTAGCCAGGTCGTCAGGGGCTGGGTCTGCTGCGCGCCGCGGACGCCCTCTCGCCGCAGCTGCGGGCGCCCAACCGCCCCGCGTTTGCAGCCTGCCCAGCGCAGCGCAGCAGGGGTCTACCCAGGACCCCCGCATTGCTGCTGGGCGTGGGTATGCTGAGTGTGCGCTGGTCGCCCTTTTCGGCTCTCACGCGGATGCTTTGGTTGCGTGTGTTTGTGTCTTGCTGATTTCTTTTGTTCCCATTTCGGCCCAGCCTTTGACTTGCGACAACCTCTCAGCAACCAGCCTGCAATGCACATGATGTGACTGACTTTGACTGCAGGCAATGAATGAGAAACAGCCAAACCAGCGTCCAAGTGTGTATAACACCTGATGCGTTGATGCCCGAGCGCGGCAAGACTCATGTGCAATATCACACCAGCAAGCAAGTGCGCCAGGGATTGGGTGTAATGGCACGTCAGAAGGGCCTGCGCGGGCCAGATGATGCACACACCAGGCGAGCTTTACGCACCAGGCCAGATGGTGCGTGCATCATAGGACTGGACATACCAGATGCTTCATGCAAGTTCAAATACTATCACAACCACTCTTTGATCCTGATGGACACAAGCAATGTGTGTGTATGGGTTCTGAGTCTGTAGGGGGACCTCAACTTGCCCGCTAGTGGGAGCACAGGAAAATGTACGCGGGGCGGCAACCATCCAGATCCCGGCGACCCTGGCGGCCAGCAAACCAGCGCACTCCAGTGAATACCGGTAGCATACCTGGACCAGATTGACCGTCGTCCCTTGATATTGTTTGACATTTTCAAACCATCACATAGTCAAGCCCAGCCTTGACCGCAATACAGCACAGCCTCTGGCACGCAGCAGAGCACATCAGCGGGGTGCATATAGCTGCCAATAATCTTATAGGAAAGTCGTGCAAGATGGGGTGCTGCGGAAAGGACGATGACCACGAGAAGGAGGTGCGACATTGTCAGATCACCCTCAATCGCCACTATCACCGTGATTTATTCTGTCAAACAATCATCCAAATGGCGGGGACACTATGGAACCCCGCGGCAGGGTATGGTGGAGAACCGCAAGTGCAGGGACGTGCTGTTCCTGCTTGTGTTCGCTGCCTATTGGGCCGGAATGTTCGTGGTGGCAGGTATTGCGTTCCAACAAGGTGATTGGTGCCTGAGCCGATGTGCACACCCCCGATCGCAGTCGCCCGTCCGACATGGCGGCGCGCACGTCCTGCATCTCTCCTGCTGCTCGCTGTTCGCGCTGGTTCGCCCCTTGCGGCTTTGACGTATGCAGCACGACGCCCACATTCACATGCTGGCAGCCTCCCCTCATGCACTTTGTCAGTTCCCTCCCATGCACCCATGCACCATCGCGCCTGCGTCCCCCCCCCCACCACCACCAGGCGATCCTCGGCGCCTGGTGTTTGGCCTGGACTCCCGCGGCTTGCTGTGCGGCACCAACAACACCTACCGCAACAGCTCTGTAGACTTGACAGACAAGCCCAACCTCTATTACCTGAACGTGAGGGTACCCGATTTGCAGTGTGATGGCTAAGAATGTTACTGCACTGTTTGTCGAGCGCAGCAAGGAACTGCCATCTCTTAGGATGGTTTCAAGGGGGCTGAGCAGGGGGGGCGCACCAGTGCGACGCCTGCATACGCTGCGAGAGGGCCAATGTCGCCATACCATCGGAGGCTGGGTGCAAGGAAGACAGAGCGGCACCACCCAGCTGATGCGAGCAGCCGCCCCAAGCGACGCCCGACCTCCCCGCGTCCACGCAGGCCCCTCCTGCTTGCACGACTCCAGCCGCCTGTTTCCCATCACCCATCAACGACCGCACCACCGCACCCAACGTTCCAACACCAATGTTCCGGGCCCGATGTACCCCCCCGCCCCCATCGCTGGGCCCAACGCACCCGGCCCCCCACTGCCAAAACATGACCTCCCCAGGCCCTGGACCTTCTTGATGCAGCCACCATATCGTATGCCAAGAGCGTCTGCGTCGCAGACTGTCCGGGGGAGATGCAGCGCTGCTCGGTGGCGTCGATGCCGTGCACCCGGGAGTCGTCTTACCGGTGGGTGGGCCGCTGTTTGTGCAGGGGGAGGGGCCAGATGGGATGGGGCAGGGGGTGGGGCTTTTGTCTTTGAGAGTGAAAGTGTGTTAGT